GAGGTTGGACTATTTACTGTTTTCAAGATCTGTCACAGGTCTTCCCTTCTGCTCCTATATCTGAGCAACTGATAAGAAAACCTGGGAGCTTCTTTTGGTTCTGGTGGAAAGTTTCCAGGGTGGGCAAACTTTTTAACTTGAGAGCCACAATGGGTTCTTAAACTGGACCAGAGGGCCTGAACAAAAGCATGGATGGAGTGTTTGTGTTAACTAATATAAATTCAAAGTAAACATCATTACATAAAAGGGTACGGTTTTTTTTTTTTAATTTTATTCATTTCATACGGGCCGGATCCGGCCCGCGGCCGTAGTTTGCCCACGGCTGTGTTAGACTGTCCACAGGCTGCAGGAAAGCAGTTAGCAAAAGTGCTAGTAAGATAAGCTGCTAATATCTCTGTGAGGGCAGAACGTGCTGAAAAGTTATTTTTAAACATAAAATAATGTGAATGTTCATCTCATTAGACCCATATTTGTAATAGGAAATATATTTTTTAAATATAAGGGTTTTTTTTTTTCTTATTTGGAACACCCTTTCTTTCTCCTCAACAACTAAAAAAAATTGTAAGTGCTAGATCACAGCAAAACAGGATACGAAAGGCCTTTAAGGTTTTATTTTTATAGCAGAAAATCCTCACAGAACTTTTATTCTCTGAGTTATCATAGGTTGGAAATACACAGCTCAATATTGTCTTGACTGTCACTAGTCTTAATTTAAAAGCATGGTTAAAATAAGAAGAGATTTAAAATCCTTCTTTCACTGTAAAAGCACTAAAAGAAAACATGAGATGATGCTTTTAATAATTCTAGTGTACAGAAGGACTTTTTAAACAAGACTGCAAGAACCATAAAGAACAAAGATGAATAAATTTGTCTACACAAAAAAAACTAAGTTCTGCATTCCAAAAAACATCACTTTAAAAACTCAAAAGACAAATAAGAAAGGTGAAAAACTACGTAACATCTACTAGTATGACAGCAAAAGAGCTACTTTCCTCATCCACCAAGAGCCACAAGTCTTAGGAATGTGGGTCTGGGGGAAGGATGTGGGA